TTGGAAAGTAGAACACACAGTGGGTCAGACCAATCAACTGGATCCCGATCATTCGGGACATGCTATAGCTCATTGCTGGGAGATTGAGCCAAGGGCAGCGCCAGGCGATGCGATCTGCAGACAAATTGCACATCCAGTCGAACCACCATCCCTTATGAAGGGTATTGACTAGATGTCGTCGGAAGAAGTAGCCGCGAGCTGAGTATACTGGGCAAGAGTCCACAATCTGTAACTTGTCCATCAACCACACCTGGGGAGGGATGGAAAATGAGAGAATAAAGAATAGAGAGGTGTACGTTGAGAGAAAAGTGAGACAAGGGTTTTGAGAGAAAAATCGAGCCTGAGGGCCGAGTGATGTGAGCAATATTTATGTGAGGAACGGTGGGAACATTACCTGCAGCAGCAGTGGACTCCCCACAAATCTGGTCGCTTTCCGACGATGGAAAGCATCCGAAGCCCATCAATGTCTCAGCCAATGTCATGGCAATGCAGCTCTTGCCCCCTTTCAAGCCTTTGGCAACTTCAATCAGATGAATGCTAGACCCGTTGAAGCCTGGGGCAAGCAAAAAGTGAGATAGCATGCACAAGCAAAGGGCGTGTTGCCGAAAACCTTGCCAATGATGGTCGCCGCGGTTACCGGCATCAAAAAAGCGATGAATCAAGCCAAGGATATCCAATTCCCATTGCAGATTAGAGACCGAGCATCATGCATGGTGAGCCCACACATCTGTCCTAAAGCTTGGGTGTGACCGAAGCGAAACTGGGACAAAATCTCTTCATGACGTTCAGATTCCATCAAAACTTGAAAATCTTCGAAGGTCGGACACATCTCTTGCCCGCCGAAGCTAAAGACATGTGTTACCGGGTTCCAAAACCTCGCCGCGGCATGGAGGAAAGGAAGGTGCAGCGGAGTACGACCCAGCGTGAATAGTGCATTCAAGCCAAAGCCCCGGAAGTTCAACTTTTCCGAGCCATCTAGAGAAGCAATCCAAGCTGTGAGATTTTGGATGAGAAACGCCTCCATTTTGATGTAAAACTGAGATGAAATGAATGAACCACAAAGCTAGGACCTTTATAGAGGATAGGGCACTATTCGGGCAACACGTGTCAAGAATTTGGTGGTGGCCAAGCTAGGTGGTCGGCCGGCCACCTTTTCTGGTAAGCCGACCACCCCTCTCCTCTCAAATACAAAAAGCTGGTCAGCCAGCTCTCTTAGGTGGTCGACCATAGAGAGGAAGGTGGCTTTGGTCTTGTTCTAGCTTCTAGAAGAAAGTTCCTAGCATTTCCATGCATTGGGGGTGTTGAAGGTGCGAGTTTTCCTCCATTTCGGATGCGTTCCGTCACCCCGATCGTCCGAAATGCATTTGTTTATCGAGTTGTTGTTAAGTCTTGCTTATCAAGTTGTTGTTTTGCTTATCGAGTTGTTGTTTCGTTTGTCGAGTTGTTAAGTTTATCGAGTTGCTAAGTTTTGTTGAGCCGTTGAGTTTTGTATATTGATTTGTTACTCTTTGTTTAAGCAGCATTGTTGTGTCTTGTTTATCGAGTTGTAAACTTGCTAAGGTTTTGTTATTTCTTAGTAAGTTAGGTTGTTTAATTTGTTGTGTCGGTTCACAACCTGACTTGGCAATTTTCAAATGCACAATTCCATTCAATCTCATTTTGTGCAAAATCATGCGATGCGATGCAAGAACATAAAATGCAACACTTTTTTGAACAAACGGCTGTTTCATTCCATCATGCTTCCTTTGTTACAACATTTTACAACAAGGGTACAAGTTTTACAAGAAATAAAACTGCCTAATAATGTACAATGTGCTACAACTACTAGTAAAAAAGGCAAATAAAGTAGGAACATCTGTGCTCTCAAGCGTAAGAAAAAGAGGCCCTCTTCGTCATCTTCTGCGGAACAGCCTCTGCGCCATCATCGCCATCTGAGTCAGAGCCGTCATCCTCGAGATCCTCCTTAGCATCACCTCCGCCCTCGGAACCGGACTCAGAGTCATCCTCTCTGCCGACAGATGTCTCTAACTGGGGATGCGCGGACTCCTCCTCCTCACTGGACTCCTCCTCTATGATATGTGCTCTGTGCCCACCTCGTCTGCGAGACGACTCCCCTCTCCCAGCTCCTCGGGAAGGCCTAGATGGCCCGGCCTGTGGTCCGGTATGTAGCGGAGGCATCTGAAAAAAAAGAGTGCAATACATCAGCCAAAGTATGTATATCAGATGCAGATGCAAGAAAACTACATGAAGTGGGTGCACGCAGATACAGTACATGAATATGGTGTGTATCAAATGTGCTCTACACATGCAGTCAATCAATGCAGTAAGATGTTCAAGTTCAACATGTCATCAGAAGTATGAGAAATGCGAGAAAATTAAAGAGTACCTGGAAACCAAGGATGGACAGCTACGCCTCTCTCCGCAAGACCATGCCCTCGAGCGAGGCCACCAATCCGAGCATCCTATCCATGTACTCTCTGGGTGGCTGCAGATACAAGCTCAAGTCATCAATGAATAAATAAATGCCAAAGTATCTGTGTGATAAATGAAAAATAGTAGAACATACCGGTGGTGAGTCAGGGTCACTGATATCGGTGGTCAGGCATAAGAGGCTCTATCGAAATCGGGTAAGAGCTCCCGTATCGCCAACCCGTCAACTCAGTCGGAATGTCTGGCCATCCGGCATGATGATAAGTCGGAGGAATCGGGGGGACCAGTCCAACCCCACCCCTCGACGTACTGGCTCTGCTAGTAGAAGGGGCACTTGCAGCCCGGGCTCGACTCGAAGATCGTAGGTCAGCGGACCTCTTCGTGGGAGTACGGACACCTATCAGCGGGGGCATCAAGTATGTGTGACGGTAGGTCGCGTACTCCCCCTCCTCCAAATATAGCAATACGTCAATACCCAGCATGGCACTGATAACCTCCTAGGGACTGAGCCTCCCGGTAGTCCGCATATCGACCGGAGGTGCTGAGGGGATATCCTGATGAGGGTAGCCCATCGTCTGGCGCATAAAGCGTTCCCCTAGGAACCAAGCCCTCCCAAAGGGCCCCTCAAATAAGACCCTGTACCGGGAAGCAGCCCACCCCCAGCAAGCTGAAATCGGGTGTCTCCACCCAAAGGCAACCAAGGCTGCCAGGTGATCTGAGGATAACCAATGTATAAGCCGACTAGAAATCATAAATGTGTCAAAGATGAAAACATGGAGAACTGAGAGTTCTGAATTACCTCTGTCGGCCGCACCGTATCGAAATACTGTCGTAGATAAGGGAGAGTCTCCCGAGGTCTCGGCCGGTACTAGCCCTCGAAAACGAGCGAATAGGGGGTCATGAGAGGCGCCTCCACCTCGAGCTTTGGGGCAAGTGTCGAGAAGTACGCAAAAACCCATAACTGTGGAAAACAGGGCAAAAGTAATCTGAATACAGAATGTTGAGTGTAGAATCCGAATACAGAATGCTGAGTGCAGAATGTGAGTACAGAATGTAAGGTGTGCCGTGCGTGCAATGTACAGATAATGAAAAGCAGAAATGTAAATCAAGAGGGCAGAAGGTACCTCCCAGGCTCTCCAGTAGCCGCCAACTATGTTCCTCTGTCCGCGGGAAGTCGCGCTCATGTAGCAATAGAAGGTAGCCAAGCCGGCGCCACCCTAGTCATACTGACTGACCTGCGAGAGGTCTACCAGGGCACTCAGAAGATACAGTCCGACGGTGTTCCCCCTATCGGAGAACAGAGTGGTCCCGAAGAGGAACATCAAAAACCCCCGGGCGTACTACGCTACCTTCTCGGGAGTCTCGGGCTCAATCCCCCTGAAATGTGAAGAAAATCAGGTGTACCAGACTCGGCCCGAGGATCGGTTGACCGGTGGGCGAGCTCCCAATAGATGAATCCAGGCGGCCTCCCACTCGCCCATGTCCTCATCATAAGGGATCGCCCAGTCTCTCACGTTGAGGCCTGTCAATACAGCAAAGTCGAATGGGGTCATAGTCATGTCCCCAGCAGCTGAGAAATGAAAGGAATTAGTGGTATCCCACCACCTCTCCACAGGGGCGCCCATCAACGTCCTGCTAGCGGGGTAGTGAGATATCGCAGTACAGAAGGGCCCGAACCCTGCCTGATCAATCCAATCACGGACGGCCTCTGGGAGCTCTGCATACCACTCCCTCGCGACAATGGAGCCATATCCCCGCGTAACACGGGAGGACACCTGCATTCACAATGAACACATGTATTCAGTTTCAGAATGAAATGAATAAACTGCGTGCAAATGAAATGTATGAGCTGTGTGCAAACCAAATCAGATACAATGCTGTGAGCTGTGCACAAGTACAAGTGTGTGTTACGTGTTCACAACCAACAAAGGGCTGCGTGTTCAGAAATTCAAAGTTTGAGCTGCGTGTTCAGATTTCAAAATCAGTGGGCCATGTGTTCATCTCAAAGTTCGAGCCGTGTGTTCGACGTCAAAGTTTGAGCTGCGTGTTCAGATTTCAAAATTAGTGGGCCGTGTGTTCATCTCAAAGTTCGAGCCGTGTGTTCGATGTCAAATGTTTGAGCTGCGTGTTCAGATTTCAAAATCAGTGGGCCGTGTGTTCATCTCAAAGTTCGAACCGTGTGTTCGACGTCAAGTGCTTGAGCTGTGTGTTCAGATTTCAAAATCAGTGGGCCGTGTGTTCATCTCAAAGTTCGAGCCGTGTGTTCGACGTCAAGTGCTTGAGCTGTGTGTTCAGATTTCAAAATCCGTGGGCCGTGTGTTCATCTCAAAGTTCGAGCCGTGTGTTCGACGTCAAGTGTTTGGGCTGCGTGTTCAGACTTCAGAAATTCAAAGTTTGGGCTGTGTGTTCAATTCTCAACAAGTGTGTGCTGTATGTTCACAATCAATATGTGGCTGCGTGTTCAGAAATTCAAGTGATTGGGCTGTGTGTTCAAGATGCAAACGGAATACTGTGTTATAGACTAAGTGTTCAGAACAAGCTGTGTGCTAGAATGAGCAGATAAACATAGCGAAAACATGAAATGCACGGAAAATGCATAATACATTGCGGAAAACATGAAGGTGAAGTATATACCTCTCGTGCCTGATGAGAGAGATGGGACTCCGGCTCCCGCAATAGCAAATCTACGGGGACTCGATCGTCAAAGTCCGTAAAATGATAGAAAACTGCCCGTGGGAGGATGTGCGTCGGGGGGTCGTACCTCTCGGGAATAAAGGGGTGAATCCTCGGCGGTAGAGACATGATATCTGGATCGCCTCTGGCACCTGGAGAACCTCCGTCATGAGGGAAATGACCCGCCATCTTGAAAAATCTGCAAAGAGGAGCAAAAATGAGCAAAATGAGCCAAAATTGGAAAAAGTCAACAAAAGTCAACTCTCGAGAAATGGAAAAGTCAACAAAAGTCAACTCTCGAGAAAATCTTCCAAATGTTAAGACAAACTTACCTCAAGTGGTGAAAATGAGAAAAGAA